CGGCCTTTCGATTTCTTTTTGTGCATACACTTCCAATTTAAATACTTATATTAAAAATATATATACTAAAAATCAAGTCCTAATATTTTATATAATCAGATTTTATATAATTATTTAAATATTTTAAATAAATTTATTAAAAATATTTAAATTAATTTATATTATTTTAAATTGTTTAAAAGTTAACACAACTCAACTTTTACGCATGCCTTACATTAATTTTTTTTTTCTTTTTCAAACACCACAAAGGCCGTGGAAGTTATGGGTCTGTTAAATTTTGGTGATGAGTTGAATTTATATGTATATTAATGTGAAATTTTTATCTTGATATTATTAATATTTAGATAAATTTTATGATATTTTACATGATTTTTATTTTTTGTGTTGAAAAAGATTTTAATGCATAATAATATGAGTTTTTGAAATTAATTGAATATCTTTTGAAAGTTGAGGAACTGAATTGCAAGAAAAAAGGTGCTTCTTTGGGATCTAAATGAATGAATCTTAAGTTTCAGAATCTAAGTGCTCGTTGTACAATATATGGAGGATCAGATCTGCAATTTTATCATTGACAAAATTGTAAAAAGAGCCAAAAACCCGACACGGGAGTGGTGTTGACACATAATTGGGTTGTCAGCACCATGCATAAAGCGTCCAGAGCCAGAGTTTCTGTTTCCTGTTCGGTGTTGACATGTAATTCGGGGGGCAACACCATGCGTCCAACGTATAAAATTCAAGTCTCCTATCCTATTTCAAGTCATAATTTTTTTTTTCTAAAAGGGTTCCTTAGCCTCTATAAATACCCATTAAAAAAATTAATTTTAGGGCTTTTGAGAGGAGGCCAAAGAGGAATTCAACAATAAAAAATAAAAAATTAAAATTTTATATTATTAAATTGATTTTACTTGTTTTTAAATTTGATGTTATGATGTTGGATGCTCATACATTTATCGTGAAATTGTTGATTTTTTTTTATTTAATTATGAATTGATTTTGCTATTTAAGGTTACGATGTAACCTGATCAATTTAATATAGAGTTTTATGATTTTTATATTTTTAAAATTTATTATTTTATGTAGCGTATATATTATTGTTTTTAATATTATTGATCACCATTAAAACTGATTTGGAGAGCATAATTGAGACGGATAGGAAATTTTATGCAATAATTTCTAGTAATATATATCATAAATTGAATGAAAGTTAAATATAGACCAATGTGATTCATTCAACATTAGTAATAAGTGGATTTAATTTTTTACGTAAACTAAAAAACTTCATAAAATATAATGTATCTTTATTTATTTAAATTCATATAGAGATATAGTAAATTAATAGGTGAAAATAAATTTGGTATAACTTGAGAAAATGTATCAAATAAAATAAGAAATTTTGGTGTTACATAAATAATAAATACTTTAGAAATATATATTAGTAGACTATGGTGAAATCAGATGATTTAAAATTTTAACTTTTGGTGT